ATCTTTTGATGTACTGGGTTGTTTATTCTGTACATACATGTTTTTTTCTTTCATTTTATTGTTTTCTATTTTTAGAGATACGTATAAGCTGCCCAGAGTCACTAGGAGTCAAGCAGTCTCTAAATTCAATAAAATAATATAAATAACAACAACAACAAAAAACCTGATAATAGGATTATAAATCAGAGGTTTAATCCTTTGGATTTAGGATGAAAATTATCTGAAATGCCTAGAGACTCAAATAAAGTAGCCATTCTTCTTTGCAACCTTATTTGAAAGGGCCACTGCTTTTACTTTGTCAACAATATGGGTTTCTGTTGTTTGATATTTTCTGAATCAACACAACACTACACAGACAAAAATATAAGTTAAACCAGGTAATCCTGGCACTCAGATGAAGCCTTTACACAGATATTTACTTTCACCAGTCATCAGTACAAACATGTTTATTATGTATTATGTAAGTAATGAAGGAGTGTTGTATGAACTTTTGAGGAGGTCTAGGACATCTTCAGGAAATACAGTTTTTAAGAGTTTTGAACATATTCAAAAATTGGCCAGATCTGGTCTTGGACTAGAGAGAAAACATTCCAGAAAAAAATCCCCCCAATCATTCCTAGAGAAGAGGCAGTTGGAAAGTCATTTAGAATGCTGCCACCTGCTCCATTTTAAGCATCTCTCCTCCTTTCTGGTCATGTTATCCAGATTGGAGTATATCACCTTTCCTGTGCATACAAACACAGAGATGCAAGACAAATGGAAAGCAGAAACAACACACAAAGACACTACATATTACTTTATTACACAGAAGAAAATACGGATGTCTTCCATGGTGACTGCAGGTAAAGATTTGGAAAGAATTCCAAACTCCATGCTCTCTCTACAGGTAATCATCGATTTACGATGGCAATTGGGACTGTAATTTCTGTTGCTAACCGATGTGGTCAAAAAGCGCGACTGTATTGCTTAGCGACAGCAATCCCTGCAGTCTGGTTGCCGTCATTAACTGAATCCCACCGTCTTTAGAAGAGGCAACTTCCTGCCAGCTTCCCACGACCAAAGTCAGTGAGGAAGCTGGCAGGAAGCTCCAAGTCCCAGGCCTGCATGCAGGTAAGCTGCTGCTGCTGGGTGGGGGAAGGAGTGAGACTGTGGGGGAGGGTCAGTGGGGGTGCATGAGAGGCACCACATGGGTCAGGGAGGGTACACAGATGTGCACGAGAGGCACTGCACAGGTTGGGGAAGGTGTGTGGGGATGCACGAGAGGTGCTGCATGGGTTGGACAGGTATGCAGGGGTGTATGAAAGCTGGAACTATGAGGACTGGTTGTGACCACCATCCATTCAGTGCCCTCATAACTTCGAATGGTTGCTGAACGAATGGTTGTAAGTCGACCTGTACTTTGTTTTCCTTCCAACCCATCCAAATGTTGGAAAGAAGTTACGTAAAAGGGTTCAGGATTCTGGCAGTCTGCCCTTCAGCAGCATAACTCCCCCAAAACAGAACATGACCAAATTTAGTATTGGGGGATGTGCTAGCAAAAGAAAGATCAAGTCTGAAAATGGGCCAGATCTGGCCAGGAGTTGCAGAGGAAAATAAATGCCACCAAATTCCCCTAATGCATCCATATGGGACAGGCAGTTGAGCAATAGCTGCTAACTGCTCCATTTTTAGATCCTCCTTCATTCTAGTTACATGGGCTGGAACAGAGCTGTTAATAAGGAGTGGGAAACCATGTTCTGCATGCTTTTCTTGCCCTGTTTCTTTTTGCATCATAACTCTTAGATTATAAACCTGCAGGAACATTTCATCTTAAAAAATGCTTGTACACATTTCAGATGCTTTGTAAATAATAACAATCATACAAAACCATTCTGTTACCTTCCTGATAAGCTACTAATCAAAGAGATTTTTATTCAGAAGTAAATTTCTCTTTGTACAAAAGAAATCCTGTAAGAATACAAACTCAAACTTCCAGCTTCCAAAAGACTATTCCAGGGAAGGCAGGGAGGACAAGTGATGAAACATGCATCATGATGCAAATACTATGACTTTTGTATTTCTGTCAGACATTGGGATGCCAATACATAGACAGGATTCGCATCATGATGCATATGTGTTGTCTGTTTTAATGTCAATGTGGCTTGACGCTGCTGCTGGACTATTCCCATTATTTACAAAATAAATCCTCAGAGTTTTGGGAGTTAAGCCATAAAGGTCCCTTCTTCAGAAACATCAACTTTTGACCAAATTTCTAACCATTCAGGAATTAGTCATTATTCAGATTAAGATGGATAATAATTCCACAGGACTTTACAACAAATAGCAAAATGTTCATACAAAATGTTCATACAAATTTAACAAGAAAGCAACCTAGAATTAATCACTTTGCAATTAAAAACATAAGTAATGTATGCAATATTTGTAAAAAGATTTGAAGTTACAATAGGTTACATGTTCCTGGATTAAAATATTCACTTTTGTATATCTGGCTATGGCATATGAATGACTTTAAAATGAAATATTCGCTTTCCTTTTGTTTTTGTTTCAGTGGTGATAAACAACCATCTTGAGTATCTGTGTAATATTTTAATAATGTAAAAAATTAGAATACTACTTATATGAATTCTATGCTTGTTTAGATCGATACTCAAATCCCCTCTTAGATATGAAGCTCAATGGGTGGCCTT